AATTAAACGGCTCCTTGATCCAACTTGGTAGTGCTATTCTTAGACAGAACTTCTGTCGACACTTCAAGATACTATTTCATATTTGATTTGCATTCTCCCACCAATGGGTTTATGAAGAGAGAGGACAAAAAAACGTATTTAGATAATACACATTGAGACGACAGTTTTACGTAGAAACTGTACTTAATTCAGCCACTTTTACATACAAGAACAGGAAGTCTGGTATGGAAAGCCTTGAGCAAATACTCAAACGTTCTGCAATTAATTTTGAAGCCACACTGAGAACACTCACAGCTTCTAATCTCCCCCCAAACCCGTATACTGTTGCATGCTTTTTGGTGCTTCTTAAACTACAAGCAGTTCTTTAAGATACTTTTCCAATGAGGCATTAAGAAAAAACAATTTAAAGTTCTAAAGTAACAATTACTGCAGCACATCATGAGCTGCTTAGCACTAACAAGTTCTCAAGGCTTAGCTAAACTTAATCCTTTACTAAAGGCTAATGCAAAACAGTAGTTCAGAAACTCTTCCAAAAAGGATAAGAAGTTATTTCTCTTGTTCCTGAAGGGATCACCCCGAAGATATTTTTAGGATTACTCCTACTCCTTTGGGATTCTGGTGACATCAGCCAGACAGCATGTATTATCACTCGCCTGAAAACAGGATCTGATATCTCAAGAATAGCACATTAAAAAGAAAAAGGTAACTGAGTTCATTTTACCCTACAAATACAGATCCTGTGCACATTTTATGACACGTTCAGTAATTGTACTTGGCCAGGAATTCCTAATAACTGATGATGAAAAACAATCAAGTCCTTCCCCTGAAAAAGATACATTTATTTTACTACAATTTTTACTTTTTCTGAAATTAAAACAAGTCACCTCAGTATCTGCCTATAACAGCTACAAGTGGGTAATCAAACATCAGATAAACTCAGCTCTCCAATCTGACAAAGGGCCCTTGTTGGTTTGTGCTCAGCTCTATTGATCAGATACAAACAAGCACCAGAGCAACATCCCCACCCTCAGTGGTCCCCATCTTCCTGTATTTAGTTACCACAGACACATTCAAAGCACAAGATCATCCTCACACTGCTTCTGTTCTACCCTTAGCGGGTAAGTCTTCACCTGGGAAAGGCACTGTAACATTACGTAGGTATTTGACATAATGGATTTGGCCACAACAGTTTTTCTCTGTGATGGTGAAATGGCAACTTAAACACAAGACAAGGACTAATGGAATTTCTCCAGCAATTTGCAACTGCCCCCCATGCAGCTACGGCAGAGTCATTTTAGGCTGTATCCCGCACAACGAGTACAAACCTGCCAAGTTTCTGGTGTACTACTAGAAGAGCACTACAAGAAAATTGGATAGGAAGCTATGTGGAAGGTATAGCTCCTGGATTGTGTACATATCACACAGCTGGAAACCCTAAGCTAGCAAGTAGAGAGCTGAGTGGACTTCCAGGTTTGTTCTCAACACAGCACTGCTGCTTTCTGAGCTACTGCACCCGTGCTGGGAAGCCAGGCCAGGAAGCCAAGCCAAAAGGGCAAACTGCCACTTGCAGGCCCAGCCCAGCTTCTGCAGAACGAGCTCAAATGTGCCAGGATCGCATACTGAGCTGCTCTCAGGGTCAGAGAGCACAGATCTACGCTGGGAGCCACAGCATGAGCGCTGCAGATACATGTACTCTCTCTCTGTTTCCCTCTGGATTGCTCCAGGAATCGGATTTGGATTACTTCGTATTAATATAGGAAGCAAATCTCTGCTGTTCTCCTCCAAACACTATTGTTTCACTTCTAACACAGGCAATGAGTAAGAAAAATGTAGGCAAGTCCTCATTCCTCACTGAACATTGCAAGAATTGACGAAAGCAGTGACTCAAAAGGCAGCCACCACAAAACCCAGTCCCAAGGCATCCTGCCGCTCCCACGAGCAGCACTGGCACGTGAGCAGCTACTGGAGCCCATGGGTTTGGCATCAGTTCAAACCCCTAACATGTGACACCCACCACCTATGACACAGAACATTCAGGGGTGTAGTGCCTTGGCATAAAAGTTGATAAACTGGGCCTTATTAGCAGAGGCCTGGATTTTAAAGTAAACTCCTCAGGTGGAGAGATACCGGGGTGGAGGGAAGAGGGGTGAAAGGCAGGAGGGGAGGGAGGAAACAGACAAGGCTTGTCCCACTTCCTCTCCTTTACCTTGGGAAAACGAGAGCAGTACAGTTGTTTCTCAGAGGCCTGGAAAAGGTGGTGGTTATCAACAGAAATCTAACTCTCATCAGACCCAGGCAGATCATTTTTATTCCCAACTGAAAACTAACCTGCAGCCAAAGTTTTAAACAGCCTTCATTTCTGTTAACGAAAAATGCCCAAACAACAAGAACACCCAAAAAGAGAGCACTGGAACATTTGTTAAATGATATGTCTCTCACCTCAGCACCACAGTAATCTGCTGTGTCCATCAGACAGAGATATAATTACCTTACATAAAAGGCAGTATTTGAACCATAGTGATTTTTGCTAAATCAAAAGAGTAAGAGGTTGGACAAAAAAGAAATTGAAAGCCCAGAAATAAAACCAGACAAACAGGTTCCACATTAACCTGTAACCTACAATAAACAGGGATCTGAGCGCAAAATTCATCAGCTTTTGCTCCAAGAATATTTACCTAATTTCCACTTTGCAGCCACAATCAGCTATATAAAACCAAAGTATGATGCACTAACATTAAGGCTTTGGATGCTGGCCATGAAATAACAGCTAGAGCAGGGGCCTGGAACCAAAGAACACTGATACTAAGATATTACAGTTATCACCACAAAAAACACATGTATATCACAAGTTTTCATGTGGACAAACATTTGAAAAATCTCCTTCACATGTTCCCTCATACTGTGTTTTTCCTTGTTTTAAACCTGCGCAGCTGCAAACCTTCCTCATGAGAGAAAGAAAAGCCTCGGGACTTTTACAATCAAGGAGTCATATCATAAAATAACATTTTGCAACCTTCAAATGCTTTTCCTTTCGACCTCTGTGCTTTAAAGTGCACTGTGATAGGAAAAAAGAAGCCAGAAGCATGACCCTCTGTTACAGAGTGTTCTGAAAAGAATAGGGCTGCAGTATTGCACAGTCTGATATCAAGCAGGTGGTTGTTCTGATTCAGTAGTTTGGTAGCTCACAGGTTTGGCACAGGAGCAAATAACCCTATCACTCACCAACCACCAAGTCTCAACCACTCTGGGAAACGTGTTGACACGGTTTTCTCCACATCATTTCTGGACAGAAGGTAACTCAAAGAAGCCAGACAAACATTTCTTTTCGTTTTAAATAATCCACACACACCAGGAAAAATTAAAGGCCACCCTTAATGGACAACCAATGTAAAAGGGATAAACTGCAGAATAAACTGCACAGAGGGACACGTTAAACATCTCCTCCTCTTTCTAAAAGAAAAGCAAACTAACAAACATACACAAATATGCTCGAGTTGTTGATGCTAATAAATATACCACCAATAGAACCAAAAAAGTCCAATTTATCCTCATTAATAATGAACTGGACAAAGAATTACTCGAACTACTGACTGCCTGCATCTTTTACCTGAGTAGTGATTCAGAAAAGTCTGAACCAGTGAGTGTTAAAACATTCTCCTTAACAAAATTAAAGAAAACAAACCCTTTAATAACATTCCTGAAAGCATCAGTATGGATCATTCTAGGATGAATAATATATTCAAACCATAAATAAATGATAAATATTTCTGATACTCGAAAAATGTTTACACAGTTCTGTGAACTTATTAAGCAGTTTTATTGAAAAGAAGGGTAAATAAAATAAATAAAATTTAAAAAAGGGAATGTAGCAGTTGTGTGTGTGATTCTTCCCTGCATGTGTGACCTTGGCAGAAAGTAAGAATCAATAGTGGTGGATTTGGCAGAGCTGGGTTAATGGCTAGACTTGATCTTAGAGGTGTTTTTCCATCTCTGTTTCTATGATTAACTAGAAACCTGTGTTTGACAGAAAACTGTAACATACATTTTGTGTTTAAGGTGTGTAAAACCAGGACACAGTAACCAGCCAAAGCATTCATTAACGTCTACCATTGCTATACAACACTATTCTGAATTAGTCACTGAGAAACTTAATATACATAGAAATATTCCTGCTATGTAGGGTTTTTTTTCCGAGATAAAAGTATTGCAAACCACCTTCCTTTAAATGGAGTCTAGAAACAAAAGCTAAATAAAGCGGGGGGAAGGGCTGCCAGCAGCATTCTTATTTACAACCTGGTAAAACAAGTTAAAAAAAGCAAAATATCCATTTTTGCCCACGTTTAAAAGGAGCAAAACAAATGAGCTTGACCATAAAAGTTAATGACACCTAATACAAATATCTGGATGTTTTCAATTAAAACAATTCACTAGGTTATACCAAGGAAACCCAGCTCTTTTCAGGTGACAAATATGGGTAGGGACTCCAGTCCAATTGCCAAAATCTGATGGTAAAGAGCCCAGTTCATCAGTCAACTGACTGCTGAGTACCTTTTTATTTAATTCAGAACAAGGAATATAGAAAGAGGTGGTTTTTTTCTGAAACATCTGATTATAAGGAAGCCAGAATACCTCACTGTCCAGCAGTTAAAGGCCATCCACTTAGAGGCACCCCCAGCTCCCTTGCCCAGGTGCACATCCGAACTTGTCTTGGCTTCAAGTCTGGAAGAAGTTTCTGCTTCATACATCACATACTTCCACATGCCCTGATTTGTTCTGGAGACTTATTTTTACTGCTATGGAAACAGAATTTATGGGGTACTCCTAGGCTAGGGAAGAAACAGGGACCGGAACTGGAGTGCACCTGTCCTTTGTTGAGAAAAAGAGAATCATAGAAAGTGACCTGTCTGTGGGAAGCACCTGAAGGTGAGCATATGGACACTGAACTTCCAGCCTGATTAACTAACCAAACAAAAGACAGAATATAAAAAACAAAGTACTACCTTCTTTTCAGTGGGGCTTGAAGTCTTCGATACTAACGCTGCTTCAACAAGACCCTGCTCAAGTAAAGAGTCATATTTTATGCTTCTTTTTCTGTTTCTCCTCTCCTTGTTTGTTGGCTTCTGTTCGTTCTCCTCTGACTGAGACACATCTGCACTGCTGTCTCCACAAATGGAAGATTCAAAAAGAGGCTTTCCATTCATGTAGGTTTTAGTGATTTTCAGCTTTATCTCTGGGGAGCCGTTCTTGATAGGAGTAGTGTTGGGTGGTGTTCCAACTCCCTTTATTTCCTGGGGTTCAAAGCGCAGCTTCGCATCCTGGGCCCCGGACTCGCCATTGAACACGCGGGAGGTCAGATCTTTCAATTTTTCAGCTGGAATGAATGGAAGAGTCTCATGGCCATTATATTTTTGCATGACCCCTTCCTGCAGAGTGGCAGAAAGTTGTGCTTTGCCCAAGTAGACGGAACATTCACGATTCACTTCACAATTCTGTGGTTTCCCATTGGTATTTCCGAGGATCTCTGGTACCTGCTTCATTTTGATGTAGTTAATTTTTTGAGTTAACAGTTGAGAACTTCTCTTGATGCTAAAGTCCATTCAGCCCAGATGTTTCCAGTCTTACACTGCTATATTAAGACAAAGAGAGAATATTTTTAATAATACAGAAATGTCAAAAGCTATTAAGTATACAGATAGATGTCACCACTAATATAACATTCAATGTACTTCATTCAAGTTTTACTAAAAAAAGCATTGCTTGCAATCTTGCTCAGCATATTCTATGATTTCGTGATCTTCATAACCAAAATACCTCAATATCTGTTAATATGCATTACAAAAAGTCCAAGAAAAATAGATTGATGAATCATCAATTTTATTAAAACAAATGCAGAAAGCAAAATCACAGCTTTAACAATCTGTTAGCCATCTACAGCACGAGTCCTGCCCACGTTAATTACACAAAGGTACTGCACTGTTTGAAGCAAGCAGGAGTTAGACCTAAGATAATATCATTAATAACAACATAAACCAGGTGCTTTTATTTCTAAGACGCTGTGCCAGCACAAAAACCCCACAGGCCGTGTTCCTGTAGCACCTACACCATGGACAGCAGCATCACAAGCTTTATCTTCCTCACTCTACAAATAGGCCTTCAATCTTCCATCGAAGCACACCTCCTGAGGAAACACCACAGGCTCAGTCTCTAGATGTATCCCAAAGGGTTCTGCCTATATGGACAAATGAAAAAGTGCATTTTGTGCCAAGAACACCAGTCCTAGTCAATCCTTTAGGCCAGTGGTCATACTGTGCAAAATTTAAATAGTCAAAGCAACTCTGGAGTTTCAGATTTTCCATAACAACAATATCATCTAACATCCACTTTTCACACAGAAAGCTGCAAACATGCAACAAGCTAAAACTGCACTATTAGCCACCCTAGGCAGGCTCTCCCAAGGGTTCTAAAAGCTAACCCTGCCTATTTCAACATTATACCATTGTAGCGAACAAATGAATCTGTTAGAATAACTCCTTTGTGCTCCTAGACCAGGTAGATGATGGTTTCAATATTTAAAATTCATATGCATAGATTCTTCACATTACCAGGTCCAGTTTATACACGATACAGAGAAATACATCATCATAAATATTATGAAATCTCAGCACAGCAATCATCATATCCATGCTCAAGGTAACCAATTTCATATATGATTAAGTCCAAGAACTGTCACATCAAATCAAAAATTCATCAAATCTAGTCTCACATGCTTCCAAAAAGTACAGTAAAAACCATAATGAATAACTATTGAATTGCCAGTTGCTATGGGAGAAATCACTTCTGAATCCACCACCTTGTTTATTAATGCACACAGTAATGATGCTTACAACTGCAATATTCCTCCAACTTGCATATTTGCTACATCTACAACAGGAGCAGTAATACATAAATGCTCATACCTGAGCATTGCCCTTGCCTAGCAGAGCTTCTTAAGGGTATCAATCCCGAATTCAAAGCAATTGGCAAGTATGAAACCTTTCCATTTACACAGAAGACGCAGGAAAATAAAAACAAACAAACAAACAAAAAAAACCCACTAAAAATCATAGCTCCATCACTCCTTAGCAAATGCTCCCATCTCCCTAACATACCTAAGGTACCTACAAGATACAAGGGTATCTCTCCACACAAGCTATATAGACTCATGTGAGAGATGAAAACCATTCTCCCTCCAGGGACAAACAGCAGGCTGAAACACCGGCATTAAACAAGAAGAGCAAGTATTCCTGAACTCCAAGTGAATCTGCAAGAGAAAAGTTTCTAATCTTTCTGATGAAGTCTGAATTACCAATAAAATCTCTTAAAAAATGAGTGGAAACCAGCCAACTATACTAACCTTTCTGAAGAGGAATCAGAGGTAAAAGAAAACTCAAAACTTCACCAGAACAGAACAAAGAACTCACTAACCCAAACAAGAACTCATGTCCTTTCACAAGATCTTCTCTGAAAGCACGGACATGAGACAAACTCTCAAACCAAATAATGATGTGACAATGTTTCAAGCTGTGATTCAGCAGATTTAACTGAGATCGTATTTATTTTGAGAAGCAACTGATGACGAATTCTGTAACTCTCTAGGCCAAAGGCAAACCCACTAGGGAGCACGTCACACTTACGGTTACGGAGATGAGAGCAAAATTCCTTTAAAAAACCCAAAACACCCAACTGTCACAAAATCTCTACTTCCTTCCTACAGATTCTTAACAGAGCAAACCAGGGATTTGATTTGGGCACCTAAATTCCGAATTTCCTGTGATCTGAACCAGCAGCTTCGTGCGGCTGCAGCGCCCTCCAGTGGGTGCCGGACGCAGCCGCCGCCTCCCCCGGATTCCCGGTGGCTCATCCCGGCTGCTCGCAGAGCACCAGCACCAAACACGCCTCCTGGGCATCCCTGAAAAACGTTTTTTAATGTGGCTCCATTAAGTGCTTATCAAGGTCTGGATTTCTGGATTGAGACATCTGCATTTTGTAACTCTTTGTTTTGATTCGTAATTTACTAGTGTTTGTTTTGTCCTGCGTAATAACTCTTACTCTCATCGCTTACTTCTTTAAGCTACAAAGCCATCCAGCTCGAGGCACATCATGACAACTCAAAAAAGCAATAAATAATCTAATTCGACTATGTTACTGGTACACTCAATCTCAAAACACTGGATGAATTAGAAGTGATAGCTTTAAGAATTTCAAAACATAAAAATCATCACAGAATCACTTAGGTTGGAAGGGACTTTCCCAGACCATCTATTTCAACCCCTTGCTTAAGCCAGGCCCAATACAGGTCAAACTGCTCAAGGCCTTGTCTGGACAGCAAGCAGTAGATAACTAGTGAAAAGATACTGCTTAAAGAAACCAAGTTATTATCTTTCTAGCTAATAAACCTAAGGGGACTCATTCCATATCACAAAAAAATGAAGACCAATAAGGCCATGCAGTGAAAGACCCTGAATTTTTAGGAGTTATCTTGATTTGCCTAAAACATCAGAAGATATACAGCATGTAGATTTTAGAATTTCGGTGAGTGAAGGTTCAGTTAATGGTTCTCACTAATACAGGTCACTAAAAACAGCTGAAAGCACTGAAAAAGGTTCCTCAAAATGCTGGAGCCTAGAGAGATGACAAATCCAGGAGTAAAACTGGTAAAAGGAAGTTAAGGTACCCAGGACAACGGTAAATGGGAAAAGAAAGACAAAGACAGGAATTTGAGACAGTAAGATTATCAGAACCAGCAGATATAGATTATAGAATATGAAAAATAGACATGTTCGTACAAAGATTTAATGGAGCCACATGAGAAGAGGCTTAAAGAGGCAGAATAATGGGCAAAGATAATAGATGTGAGTACCTGTAAGCAAATATAATCCCACTGGGGAGATGAGACATGTAGAGAGTAATTTGCAGGTTAGTCACCATGTCTAGGACAACCAATGGATGGAAATTGTTCATATGCATCAGTCCTCCTCCCAAAAAATAAGCTACATTGTGGGGTCTGGTTCAATGGAAGAAGTTAGCGAATCTACACATGAGAATAACTAAGGGTTTCAAGAAAGAAGATCAAAATTTAAGCCAGTTACATTTTGCACAAAATTCATGGTAACACCATAAGGAAGGAAAAGCACGAGACTCTGTGAGGAGGACAGAGCAGAAAAGAATGGGCAAGGAGAAAATAATCAGCAGCAGATAACCAAGCAGTGTTGCTGTGTAGTTTGGAATTAATGCAAGGAGATCTAAAAGACAGGACATGAAAGAATGAAGTGAGACAGATCACGGACAGGATCTGGTTGATCCAAGTTGTAAGAGTAAGGTCCTGAAGCAGCTGAGCATGTGATTAAATTTGGTAGTTAAATTTAAGTGCACTCATGCTGGAGCACCATATCACACAGAAGTAAAAGCAATCCCTTATCTTTTCCTAGATGACTCTGTATCTATTGAAAAGGAAACTGGGGGGAGGGCAGGGAAGGGAAGGGGACAAAAGCACCACACGCTAGTAGCAGCTAATGAGCTTAAGCCAGTATCGTCCCATATTGAATGTCTGGTGACCCAACAAGTGCCATTTTCACTAACAAAGAGGAAAAAACATGATAGCCAAGGAGTCTGCTGAATAAACATGATATTTTGGCTTGTGAACAAATAGCTTTCAGTATGCCAAAGAAGATTTGACTTATCAGAGAAAGGCCTCCAGATATTTTATTCAGACAATGACAAATGGACAATCCTTGCAATAGCTTTGTACACATTTTCATACGAAAAGAACAGGTTCTATATAAGGCAAATTATTTTGCAGACATTTTAAATAATGTTATTAATTACTTGAAAGTTCATCATCTGACAGGAGTCATGAGCCAAATACAGTTACTCTGCATGTCAGATTCCTCCTTCACTGTCCAGGCCACTATCATTTCTGTGATATTTATTAGTCATTTCTTCCACATCTGCTGTAATTTCAGAGATGCTTTTCTTCTGTGTCAGAAATAATGGAGTAGTCCACTCCTTCCAATTCTGCCAAAGGGAGCGAACAGAGTAAGTAACCAACAACAAGGATCTCTATTAAATATCACTTTTGTTTTCTCTAAGGGCTTTCTTACTAAGGTGAATTACTTGGAGCAGGCACAGCGAGGGGGAGAAGAGGGGGAAGATGAGACACTTCAATACAAATTCACGGTAAGAGAACTTTATCTACAAAAGCTATTTTTATTACCTACAAATCAGGCTTTCGGCTGGCACTGAAAAAGCTAATAGATGGCTGCTGCCTTTTTCTGTTAAGTCTCCTCCATTCTCTCATCAATTTTAAGACAAAAGGTTATTCCTAATTTCAGATCAGAATGAGACAAAATGCTTAAAGAGATTAATAAGGTTACAATACATTCTTGCTAATACATTTGAGATCTTGAGTATGCTTACACATGTTATCTGGTATAATACCCCTGAAATATCAAATAGGAGTAGAGAAATATTTACTATCATGCAGTACACTGAAACTGTTATTCACTGTACTAAAACAACAAAAGATTACTACAGGATCTAAACAGAATTTAATTTCAGAAGAAAACACGTAACTGAAAATTGCATTGC